AATGCTGTTAAATTTTGGTGGTTAAAGGTCAAAGGGGTAGGAAGATAAAAGGGATCGTTTGTCATATCTCGAGTAGGGTCGGATTTAATGACGATTTTACTCGTTATTAGCATTTAAAATTTTTTTTATAAAACTCATCCCTACCCTGAAAATTAAACTTTTTGCTATTTTATAATAATAAAAAAATATATAAAGTTTTTAAAATAAAATAACATAACAGATGGTGATGCTACACACATTTTTAAATGTTTCTGGGAAAGTTAAGCAACTCGTTGCTGGATTTAAATAAAAAAAAATTGTTTTAATGTAATTTGTTTAAGCAAATAATGGATTTAAAAATATTAATAAGATAATATAAGAGAACAATTTTCTCTTCTAGTTCTAATAGAGAAAGTAAATTAATGTTGCTGAGGTTGTTACTTCCTCTCTGTTTTTATCAGAATGCGATAAAGCAACTAGTGAGTATTGCTATCTCTAATCCAGGTCTAGGATCATAAGACAGTTCCATTATCGCTTCCTCTCCACTATCCACCAGAGAATTAGAAATGTGGCCAATGGTTACTTTCTATTACTTAGTAAAACTAATATCTTAGTTTCTTTACTTTGCATTCTTTGTTATTTAAAATAGTCTCCCTCTTTGATTTACTTTATTAAAAGATATTTGCATTTCATTTATTTGATTGAAACTCTCGTATATAAAAAAAAATAATAATGAANATCCTTAAAGTGTTTTGATGTCCTAAATTTCTCTCACCCATCTACTTCACAATTGATTCAGATGACGTTCAGTCTTCTCGCATAAACTGATTCATGTTGATGTGAAAAAACGTAAATAAAAAAATATACCCTCTTATTTAAGTTTTAAAGTAAAAAAAAATATATCGAATTTAATTAAAAATATAAAAATTACGACTTTTTAAACCAAAATATAAAAGAAAATACCCAGTAACAAGTTGCGCAACATTTAAAACTGTGTACACGACATCATCTGTTATAATATTATATTTAAACATACTTTTTATGTTTTTAATTATTAAAAAATAACAAAAAAGGTTAATTTTGAGGATAGGAAATTGATTTGATAAAATATTGTAAATGCTAATAACGAGTAAAACCATCATTTATTCCGACCCTACTCGACATATGACACACGACCCCCTTTATCTCTACACTCCGTCGATCTTTAACCACCAAAATTTAACAGAATTAATTTCCCTAATACATAAATCTCTCTGCAAAATTTCAAAAATTTTCAACAAAAAGCACAAGAGTTATTAAGCTTCAAATTGAGTAAACAAACTCGTACTTTTCACACACCCATACATACAGAAAAACCACCCAAATTTGCATTTCTCGACGTTTGAAGTGTCCAAAAAACGTTGAAATTACGTCTTTTTAAATCAAAATATAAAAGAAAAACCTATTTTGTTTTATTATTGGATAAAATATTGTTTAACTTATAATCCAGTTTTTTGCCACAATCTGGATATGGGTTATACGACATTTATTCTTCCATTTCTTATGAAATATTGTTAAAAACATCTGCTTTGATTCACTCGAATGGTGTTTGATGATTTCTGAAGTAACACTATTAAAAGAATCTTAAGATTGTCCAAATGTTGAAAGAACATCGTATCGTGTCGAGAGATTCATAAGTTATGAAGCAATAGATGCCATTCACAGAAGATAAACATGATCATCTTGAGGAAAGATGAACAATATTTTGCGCTCCTCCTGCAAATATCTGACAATAACCTAAATGCATGTTTGAAATTAAATATTTTACATCGACGTTAAATACGTTACTAATCATTACGTTAGAAAAATATATCCCTACATTTAATTCTTATATTTAAAATACTCCAATAAAGAATTATTTAAGCGTTATAAATTCAATAATATTAGGAATTATTTTAATTACTTACACCTCTCCAAGAGTTTTACATTTCTGAATTCAGGGAACCGTGAAAAGTCGAGAAATTCAAAGAAATTCAGGGTTTTATCTGTATTAATGGAGTTATGTGTGGAGGAGACACGAGTTTGTTTACCCAATTTGAAGCTTAATAACTCCTATGTTTTTTTGTCGAAAATTTCTGAAATTTTACAGGGAGGTTTGTTTATTATGAGGATTAATGCTGTTAAATTTTGGTGGTTAAAGGTCAAAGGGGTAGGAAGATAAAAGGGATCGTTTGTCATATCTCGAGTAGGGTCGGATTTAATGACGATTTTACTCGTTATTAGCATTTAAAAATTTTTTTATAAAACTCATCCCTACCCTGAAAATTAAACTTTTTGCTATTTTATAATAATAAAAAAATATATAAAGTTTTTAAAATAAAATAACATAACAGATGGTGATGCTACACACATTTTTAAATGTTTCTGGGAAAGTTAAGCAACTCGTTGCTGGATTTAAATAAAAAAAAAATTGTTTTAATGTAATTTGTTTAAGCAAATAATGGATTTAAAAATATTAATAAGATAATATAAGAGAACAATTTTCTCTTCTAGTTCTAATAGAGAAAGTAAATTAATGTTGCTGAGGTTGTTACTTCCTCTCTGTTTTTATCAGAATGCGATAAAGCAACTAGTGAGTATTGCTATCTCTAATCCAGGTCTAGGATCATAAGACAGTTCCATTATCGCTTCCTCTCCACTATCCACCAGAGAATTAGAAATGTGGCCAATGGTTACTTTCTATTACTTAGTAAAACTAATATCTTAGTTTCTTTACTTTGCATTCTTTGTTATTTAAAATAGTCTCCCTCTTTGATTTACTTTATTAAAAGATATTTGCATTTCATTTATTTGATTGAAACTCTCGTATATAAAAAAAAATAATAATGAANAAAATCCTAGTTACAAAATGCATTTAAAAAATCTCGTTTTTCTCGTCACTTGCATACATTCGTAGGTGTTGATTATATAATAAATACATATGTATCACTAATACTTGTGTCTTCAGTATTTCCTATCAAAGAATTTATAGAGTTTACTTTCATTTATGTTAATTTTTATTATAATAATTGAAACTTTATTAATATTTTTAATTAAATCCCAAAAGTCATGTTATAAATTAAATTAAATTGAGCCATTTACCTTAAAATAAAGTTAATTTTGATATTAAGAGTAATAAATAACTACTTCATAGATTATAACTTACAAGTTAGATCTATTTTCTGGACAGATAATAAAAATTACAGCAGTACATAATGTAAATCTCGAAACGAATTTGAGTTGTTTTCTTAAATTTCTAAAATAAAACCTAAATTTTATTCAGAAATATATTAAATATAATCTAATTATTCTATTTTCATTATTAAATACAATAAATAACGAAATTTACTGCTTAATTATTTTATGAATATTTTATTTGATTACGATTAATAATTCCTAAAATAAGAAGTCTCCGAAGAGAATTCGGTTTCATCTACTTTATTATTGATTTCTTTAAGTATTTATACAGCCTATATATTTATATACTAAAATCTGTCTGGATGCATTTTATTTAGAGAAAGGTGTTTTCTTTTTTTTCTTTAATATATATTCGAGATACAAAATTTTCGAGGAATTTAAATGCAGAATTTTCATTCGTTTTCAGTTTAGTTAGAAAATAATAATGAAATTAACAACACGTTATAGCAATTTTTACAAAATATATGGTTTTAAGTCTGTTATTGAATATGCAATATTTCAAATCGATTTTGTTCAATAAAGTTAAGAAACTTTACATTATATAACTTGTGAAACATTGGCTTGAAAAATATAATTAGTTTGTTTAAAGAAAAAAAGAAACATACACACACATACACCTGTACACTACACAGCTATACGCTACACACCTATACATACTCATAACACAAAAAGAAACATAATAAGCATATTAATCAATTGTGACTTGTAAAATTTGAAAGATTTTTCTTTAGGAATTTTTGATCTACAATGAAAAATATATTAAATATAATAATTTTCAAAATTTTATTATAATTATCACGTAAAATGTAACAGTTTATATTGTGAATAATGAGATTTTTATACAGAATCTAAAAAAAAATATTCACAATGTAAATGGAATTTATTCCCGAAATTTAATTTAAAAAATATATTTTATTAGTTAATTGCTAATGAAATTCTTAATATTCTTTCATTGAAAATTCACAAACGGCTCTTGGTGTAATGGTTCTCTTCCTGAGCTTCCTCTGCAATAACATTGATTTCAATTTTACATATCGTGAATGTATCATGTACATTAAATCCACCTGAAAATTTGATTTAACATAAATTATATATGAAAAATAAAAAAAAACAAATCACGATCGAATTAAAAAATCTGATCGCATGTTCACTAGATATTTCGTGTTGCAGAGGATACTTCTCATATATATATATATATATGCATACGAGGTATATTTGTATTTTAATTATTAATTACACTTTATCATATTAATAATGTTAAATAGGAGATAAATTCGCATAATTAAATGTAAATTAAATAGAGTAAACCTGATAATAATACATATAAAGTTTGATACATCTAGATCATTTTACCAACTATCGTGATGAGGATACAGTTGTTTACAGAACACCAAAAGGATACGACTTAATTATAGAAGAAACATTATACGAAAAACTAAAATCTCTTAATATTTCTATAGATAAAAATTATATTATAAATATATATGTAGTATTTTGGCAATATTTTCTAAATATAATCTAAAGCAGCCAACTTCGATGGCATCTGTTCAGGTTCAACTTACTCTTCTCATCCAGAAGATATCATAGATGATTAAATACAGATACGTTTCGTTTTTTTATGACGAAAACAGAGCAAAAACTCTTTTTTTTTCATATCTCATTCGAAAATCAACATTATGTTAATAATAAAATATTATTCACGTGAATTTCTAGAAAGAAAAATAAAAGAATACGAACTGGTAATAAAGGACGTTCTATAGAATTCAAGAACTAATGAACCAGTAAATTTTGTTTATGTCTGACTATTAACGAAAAATGGAGATAGAATATTAACAGTTTGAAATTGAAAAATGTTTAAACAATTGGTTAAACGTGAGATTTATATTACATAAGAATTTATCTTTCTTCCTCAAGGATAAAACAAAGAAATCTTACGTTTGGATAATAAGATTTCAAATGAAATAATACCAAAAAGTAATTTACCAAAACCAGAAATGAAGTTTCCTATTAAGATCTTAGTAATGGATCATCATCCCTAAATTGGAGGTTATTATCATTAAGATAAGAGAGGATAAATAATTTTAGTCTGCCATCAACTAAGAGCTTATCAATCGTCTAAGAAATATCTTGCTTATATATTTTAACCTCCATTTTTACAGACGAAGTCTACAATAACTCATGTCTTGCCCAAACTTATTTATTTCTCAATCTTAAACTTTTCTTTTTTGAAAATCCTAGTTACAAAATGCATTTAAAAAATCTCGTTTTTCTCGTCACTTGCATACATTCGTAGGTGTTGATTATATAATAAATACATATGTATCACTAATACTTGTGTCTTCAGTATTTCCTATCAAAGAATTTATAGAGTTTACTTTCATTTATGTTAATTTTTATTATAATAATTGAAACTTTATTAATATTTTTAATTAAATCCCAAAAGTCATGTTATAAATTAAATTAAATTGAGCCATTTACCTTAAAATAAAGTTAATTTTGATATTAAGAGTAATAAATAACTACTTCATAGATTATAACTTACAAGTTAGATCTATTTTCTGGACAGATAATAAAAATTACAGCAGTACATAATGTAAATCTCGAAACGAATTTGAGTTGTTTTCTTAAATTTCTAAAATAAAACCTAAATTTTATTCAGAAATATATTAAATATAATCTAATTATTCTATTTTCATTATTAAATACAATAAATAACGAAATTTACTGCTTAATTATTTTATGAATATTTTATTTGATTACGATTAATAATTCCTAAAATAAGAAGTCTCCGAAGAGAATTCGGTTTCATCTACTTTATTATTGATTTCTTTAAGTATTTATACAGCCTATATATTTATATACTAAAATCTGTCTGGATGCATTTTATTTAGAGAAAGGTGTTTTCTTTTTTTTCTTTAATATATATTCGAGATACAAAATTTTCGAGGAATTTAAATGCAGAATTTTCATTCGTTTTCAGTTTAGTTAGAAAATAATAATGAAATTAACAACACGTTATAGCAATTTTTACAAAATATATGGTTTTAAGTCTGTTATTGAATATGCAATATTTCAAATCGATTTTGTTCAATAAAGTTAAGAAACTTTACATTATATAACTTGTGAAACATTGGCTTGAAAAATATAATTAGTTTGTTTAAAGAAAAAAAGAAACATACACACACATACACCTGTACACTACACAGCTATACGCTACACACCTATACATACTCATAACACAAAAAGAAACATAATAAGCATATTAATCAATTGTGACTTGTAAAATTTGAAAGATTTTTCTTTAGGAATTTTTGATCTACAATGAAAAATATATTAAATATAATAATTTTCAAAATTTTATTATAATTATCACGTAAAATGTAACAGTTTATATTGTGAATAATGAGATTTTTATACAGAATCTAAAAAAAAATATTCACAATGTAAATGGAATTTATTCCCGAAATTTAATTTAAAAAATATATTTTATTAGAAAATTGCNGTGTTTTCTTTTTTTTCTTTAATATATATTCGAGATACAAAATTTTCGAGGAATTTAAATGCAGAATTTTCATTCGTTTTCAGTTTAGTTAGAAAATAATAATGAAATTAACAACACGTTATAGCAATTTTTACAAAATATATGGTTTTAAGTCTGTTATTGAATATGCAATATTTCAAATCGATTTTGTTCAATAAAGTTAAGAAACTTTACATTATATAACTTGTGAAACATTGGCTTGAAAAATATAATTAGTTTGTTTAAAGAAAAAAAGAAACATACACACACATACACCTGTACACTACACAGCTATACGCTACACACCTATACATACTCATAACACAAAAAGAAACATAATAAGCATATTAATCAATTGTGACTTGTAAAATTTGAAAGATTTTTCTTTAGGAATTTTTGATCTACAATGAAAAATATATTAAATATAATAATTTTCAAAATTTTATTATAATTATCACGTAAAATGTAACAGTTTATATTGTGAATAATGAGATTTTTATACAGAATCTAAAAAAAAATATTCACAATGTAAATGGAATTTATTCCCGAAATTTAATTTAAAAAATATATTTTATTAGTTAATTGCTAATGAAATTCTTAATATTCTTTCATTGAAAATTCACAAACGGCTCTTGGTGTAATGGTTCTCTTCCTGAGCTTCCTCTGCAATAACATTGATTTCAATTTTACATATCGTGAATGTATCATGTACATTAAATCCACCTGAAAATTTGATTTAACATAAATTATATATGAAAAATAAAAAAAAACAAATCACGATCGAATTAAAAAATCTGATCGCATGTTCACTAGATATTTCGTGTTGCATTCTTCCATTGAGGACAATAATTTAATCGATTTTAATAGAAAATTTTTTTTACCATTAATATTAAAATATACCAGAACATGTTATATTTTTACAACATTTGCAACATTTGTAACAAGCATTTTATTGGAAAAATATATTTCTAATATTGGAATAAGATGTGAAGGATCTTTCATTTCTTTTTCTAACATCAAAGGTAAAATAAAAAAAAAATACAAATAACTCTAATCCTTTAGTAAATAGTAAGCTCTTATATGTAAACATTTTATAAACAGAATAATTTTCCAAAAGATTGGATAAAAATTTTTCTTACAATATTTGAATTTTATTATATGGTGCCACAAGAGAGAAACAGAGCGAGAGAGAGAGAGAAAGACTAGAGAGACCATTTAGGTAAAGTTTAAAGTTTAAAGAAAGTTCCTATGTTGGTTTTATTTACAAAATTTTATTCCATAAATAACAAGGTTTTCTGAATTGTAATACGCTAAGTTTTTCTTTCAATTCTAACGGAAACTATCGATTTTATATCCGAGATGATGCTCAAATCTCTTGCTTAAAAACACATTTTTTCCCCCCATTTTTAAAGTAAGTAATTTGTTAATATAATTTTATAAATTTGTTTAAATTTATAAAGAAAACATTATTTAATCATTATAATAAAAATTTATAGTGTGTAAATTATTTAATATTTAGTTTAGGAAAATAGCAAATCTTGCACATCTCTAAATGATGATAATTATTACAATGAAATATCTTAAAAATTAATTTTTTAATCACTGTTGGAAATTATTTAATATTTAAAAAAATATAAAACAATTAAAATAGATAAAAATATTATTAAGTTTTTTAATAATAATTTTTTTTTATTATTTTGCAAATTTAAACAGGTTTATTACTATACAACTCACATTTTAATTTATTAATAATTAGTCACACGAATCTTGATTTTCTTTTATAAAATTAATTATTTTCTATTTATTATAATATTTTTCTTTTTATTTTATTCATTTATTTAATTGTTTTATTTTTATATTCTTTTTATTATCTAGTACTTCTTAAAGCATTAATTATCAGAGTGTTTTCTTCTTATGATTTTATTTAAAAGTTTTAGTGTTTAAGGTGTTTAAGAATTAATATTGTCTTTTATTTTTGACAATGGCACAATAAATAATTGCTTATCTTTTAGTTTATTACTTCTATTCTAGAGAACTTTTTAATAGTATATTTATCCTGGATTTCTTACCAATTGATATAATAACTAATTACTGATATAACATGTTAAAGTGTGATACTTTTGCTGCAAATATTCTATAAATGAATTACAAAATAGTACTTATTCATATTATTTTTTTAATTATAATACTTAAAAATTTATTACAAAATATTTAAATTAATTAATAAACTTGAAGAGTAAGAGCTATTGTTTCTAAAGACTTACGAGTGATTAATTTATGGTTCTAATAAATAAATTTACTTTTATATTCATCTGTAATCATAATTTTTTTACAGTATTATTGAATTATGAATAACAAAACACATACATTAGCTATTTGAAAAATCTCTGTTTATAGAATCAATATCCATAATATTCCTGTATGGCATTCCTAATTTAAAGAATCTGAAGAAGAATTTCCCAAATCTCCAATGCATTGAAGTATCCAGATATCATTCATTATTAGAAAACATCGAAAAAAAAATGTATAAATTTTTTGTATCTAATTTTAAAATACTTGCACATAAATATTTTTGGTTAAGAAGAGGAGTCATGTGTCTAATTGCCACTTCTTGAATACTCCTCTGTTATAATTTCAGCCTTATAATAAATCTAATAACGTATAATCTATATTTCTATAAAAATATTAAATATCAAAAATTCCATATTTAATCTTTTACTATATATCTGCTAAAATTATATTGAATGTAAACGATAACGAGCAATTATTTTCGCAATACCGGGCTGCAATTTTTTTGTCACAATGCTCTCAATTTTAATAGTGTCTTGCCCCTGTAAATCATACTTTTCCTGTTAACATTAGAATCATGCCGGTTATCTAACTAATTCCGTTCAGGAGAAAATTTTTCAATTGAAATAACGTATTTTCCGATGCAAACCGGAAATTCGTATATAGTTCTAGGGGCCTCCTGTATTCTATATCCGGTCTTGAATCTCATCTATATAATTCCATCCTCGAAATTAACGAAAAACAGATATTTTTCTTTATGTAATTTATTAATAAAATATATTTTTATTTAAGAAATAAGCTCTATAGTATTGATTTTTATAATCTTCAAAGGAACAGATTTTTATAATTTATTAATTTTATGAAATTTAAGATTTAAATGTAAATTTCTCATATATATATAATTAATTATATATGAGGAAAATTTTCATTTTGTTACGATATTACAATGAGATTTTAAATGCTGACAGTTTAATTTTCTATGTTGATATATAATAATTTATAGAAATAAATCTCAGAAGAAAATTTCTTAAAATATAATTAATTTATTAATTTTGGATTATGTCAACAGTAACCTAATAGGATTGAATTAATTTGAGATGAATTTATTAAACCATGATACATCTTTTGCAAATTGTTGTTTCATTATAACAAAATGTCAACAGATTAATTTCTTTAATTTATTTCTATTGAATTAATTAAAATTAAATAAAACTTTATAATGTATATACCATTTTTCTTATACTAAATATACAAGTTAGATTGTTGTATTTACAATAGAAACGTTTAAAATTATGAGAGAAAAGAAAAATACATTTATTCTATTTAAATTTTATATAACTAAATATATTTGAAAACAGACAAGCAAGATAAAATACCAGAATTTTTTCATATATTGCAGAAGAACAGATTTAGAAAAAGAAATAATCCTCATATCCGAAAAAACTCCCCACCAGTATCCGAATGGATGACATCACTGAACACTGATCGCGATTTGAGGCCGACCAACAGGCTAGCCACGTAAATTTTCCGGGTTCTTTCACGTGTCCAACAACTAAATCGGTCAGTTTTTCCATAGAATGTCCCACCAGGAAGCATCCCCTTCGTAAATGGCCCATGCGTTGCTTTGCTTTATTCCATCAGCCAACCAACCAACTGGAAAAAAATTGGACATATCTTCTATTTCAGTTGTATGATAGGATTATCGGTTGATGTAAATTCAAAAATTATTTATAATTCTTAATGATATTAATATAAAAATATTCAATAATTAAAAGTACCGTTAATCTTCAGCTTATTGCTTTAAAAAGTCATGTGCATGTGCATATTTTATTAATTTATATATATGTTACTGCTAAAGCTCGAAATCCGTTAATGTGCTCATTACCTAGCTAATCTGCAGATTAACTAGGGTGATCCGTTAAAGCTGCGAAAATTATTCCATTTCTCAAATTACCTAGGTAATGTTCAGATTATCTAGGTAATCTGCAAATTACCTACTAGGCACTCGGTAAAGTGAAAATAAGATTTTTGCTGGAACAACAGCAACGTTTCTGTACGCTTAAATTAACATAATGTTATTTATTTAATTTTCAATATCTAAAGAATCAAGTTAATACAATCAACAAATTAGTTGATTGAATCAATCATCAATCAATTAAAAAAACTTTAATACAAAAATCAAACGGTTTAAAATATTACTACAATTAGGGAAATGAATTTGCAAAACATATGATAAAATTGTACTTACTTATTAGTGCAATCTAAAGATTGGTGACACTTTGAATTACGTAGCAATTGGTTTTTGCGACAAGCACGCCTATTTGTGGTACATTTAGATTTGCAGTCACATTTTCTGAAACCCTGCCCAGTACCAAGGGATTGTTTTATTGCTGTTTGACGTAAAGATATTTCTACAGCAGGGACATCCATCTTCTTTCGTTAAAAATCTCTCTTTGCAAACACTGAATTCAGATTTTGCATACAATTGTTTTAAAATACCTGTTTTAGTATCAAGTTTATAAAAGCCATCCTCTGTTTTACTAAGAACCACAGCTAAAATTGAACGTGCATCAGTTTTTGCTCTGTCTTCTTCGGGTACTTTAATTCTCACAGCGAAACCTTCATCGACGTTTGGGTGCTTTGCATTAGAAACTGCTAACATTTTCTTTGCTTGCTTTTCTAAACATTTCTTGGCTTCATCACGCTGTATTTTCTGATCCATATTCTTTTTACAGATGATGCACAATACATTCTTACCATACCCTTCCTCTTTAGGATCTACTTCACCACAAACTGCGTGAACAAACATATTACACGATTTACACTTGTGAGCACTTGATGCTGCTTTTGAGCAAACAATACAGACTATGTCTTGTATAGTGCTCTTTACAGGCTCCGTACGAAACTGTGATGGCGATTCTGCTGAAGTTGAGAGTAACTCAGTGATGACTTCTTCAACTTGCAGAGGCGATTCCTTGGAGGTGCAGGGTAACTGAATATTCTTCGTGACTGCATCATCAATCAACGGTATAGAAGGCAGTTTAAGATTACTATCGGTAAATTCTTGTATTTCTATAGGTGATTCTGTAGAAGCGGGGGATAACGGAATGTCCTCTTGAGTAAGATTTGACTGTGATCTCATAATCACAGTCTCTTGTGAATCTTCTAATTTTTCAAGGTCTTCTTCAGTTTTTATCGAATGTCAAACAATTCTCCGGCATGGACAAACTTTTTCAAACCTTTCTCGCGCATCTGACAACGGCTCAATGAGTTTTTCACAGCCTCGTACAGTCAACACATCACACCTTTGAATTATTTGATAATCTCGAGATGATTCTTTCTTCTTGGAAACTTTTATTTGCTTTACATCTTCAATTATGGAATCATACTTTGGTTTGTTATTAAAACACTACGTATTATATTTTAAATCTTCGCTAAAGAGGTTTGCGAAGAATCTTTTCTTGATTTTACTCACCAATTCGGTGCTTGCTTGCATTCTAGGATTTAAATTTATCTACGTAAAAAGAAGGAGTGGGGAAAGGAAGTGAAAGAAACAAACTTTTGAACTTTAACGATACGGAAGCCGTTAATGTGCAGATTACCTAGATACTCTGCAAATTACCTAGGTAATTTGAGAAATTGAACAATTTTCGCAGCTTTAACGGATCACCCTAGTTAATCTGCAGCTTAGCTAGGTAATGTACACATTAACGGATTTCGAGCTTTAGCGGTAACATATATACAAAATATAATTATTTATCAAATGAAATTATAAAGTATCACATTTAATAATTCATAATTTCATTGAATCCTGTATGAATAGTATATTCGATTTTTATTTTTTTTTGAATCCTTGTTAATATTACTGTTATAATTATAAAGTTATCAAATAAAAAAATCTAATAAGTTAATTGACTTAATTGTTGTCTTTATAAATGTAGATCAAATATTTGATGAAGAATGTTCATTCTTTATGCATTCGGAATAAAACTACTGTAGTTGTTTAGAGGTTTTCACCCAGGGTTTAGTCGCATGGAGTTTTCCAGGGTTTCTTCACATGTCTAACACCTAAATAGGGGCCTAATTCCAATAGAAAATCTTCTCGAAAAGTATTATGTCTAGAAGACCGTCCTTGTGTTGCATTGCTGCCTTACTCCATTCAATCCAATCTTCTTCTATTCGGATGCGGTTTGAATAAATACAATGAAACTATTTAGGAACCATCTCATTTAGCAGGAAGTCATCGACACTTTTGGTTAAATAAACTTCATTTCTCGCTTGTAATAGATCCCGTTTTATTCTGATCATTGAGTTTACAACATTAGCATAGGAGAAGTATTCAGTAGTATATTACGGATAAATAAGAACAAAATATGTATCTAGGGATTTTTTTTGAGTGCCGTGTTTGAATTTTCAATCTGATTTGTTTATCCGTTAGATTCAATCAATTGGAATCTCTCTTTAAATAAAAATAACCGTAGAAACGATAAGATTTAGAGGAAAATGGAGATGGAAACACTCGAATCTATTAGCTTCCAGATGTTGTTTCCAATCAATTGTCAAAGAAAGCGGTAAATAACTAATAAGCAATATTAGACGGAGGTAAATTTGAACCTGAAATCTCCATTCATCTCAAAAGATTGGAAATGGATTATGATGTCTAATTAAATAGTTTTGTTTTGTACAAGGGACAGTCTCTGTTATTTTTAAGAACCCTATAATAGCCGCATTCGCGTTGAAATTGTTTTAATGGTTAAATAGAATTTTTAAAACATTTTATATATATGTAATAATCATTAGAAAATATTATGGAGGAAAATAAATTTTTGGAGTTTACGATTTTCCCAAAATACTACAAGAGTTTTACAGAGGTCAGAATGAATTTTAAATTTTAATACCTTTCACGTTTACAAATGGCAGCAATGTTGTTACTTGCAAAACATTGAAGATGTATACACATTATATATATATATATATATACACACAACCTAAATCATTTACATTACGAAACCAATGAAAAGAAGGTTCTTGAATATAAATTTGCCATATACACACACGCACAATTAAGCGATATGTAAAATTTAAGATCCTTTTGAGTGTTTGGTGCAAATCAAATGACCCATCTTTATTTCCTCTAATAGGATCTGCATCTCTTTCAATGTTGTAATTCACTATCCAAAGTTGTAAGATGCGTCAAATTTTAGGCATTTATTTGATAAGTTGAAGAATTGCTATAGTATCAAATTTAAATAAAATAGAAAAGCATTGTATACTTGCAAACACACAGTCGTTCTACACAGTTGAATATCCGGATTTTTGCTCAGGCTTTTTGCGTATCCCAGTTTTTCTAAATCAAATCCATCTATTTCCCATTGCTTCTCAATAGACAGACCACTTTCCTCAAGAATAGACTTGTATGAATGAATAGTGTAGAATTCCTTTAACACGTCTTCGTCTTTCAACAGACTCTCAAGTTTCATTGCGGCTGCTGAAGACTTTTCGTCCAGATTATCAATGAATGCTCTCAAGAATGAGAAATTTTCGGCATAAAAACAAGCCATTTGAATCCATATGACCCATGTGGTTATTATGGTTGTTTTTGGAGTGGAAATCCACTTACCTCTTTTTTTTACATGTACAGCAAATTAGCAGGACATTTAATCAAATTTCATTTCCAAAATGAAAACATTGATCCAAAAATTATGCCTTGCTTCACATATCCTGTTAAAATAATGGGCAAGACAAATGACGTCTCAGATTCGGATACATCAATTATATTTGAGCGTGCATTTAGCATGTATGGTGCCTGGTCTGTTACAAGACACCAAACTTTTTCATACAAAATGACTGAGTTTGGCACTTACATCATTGAAGGCCTCTGCTTAATAGTTGTAGAATTTGTCTTTTCTAATTCATAAATTCTTAATGACATGGGTTATACAATATATATATATAAAGTTGCTTCCTTGAATGTTTTGGTCAGGGATTGAGTGCTTGGTATACTTTTCTAGAAAGTTTTTGAATGCTGGATGATTTACTTTGATTCCAATAATCCCAGACTTAATTAAAACTGTAGGAAATTCACGTGAGAATTCATTCTTCTTCTTTGCATCGTCTTTTATAAAATTTAATGATGCTAAAATAAAACTTTATCTCTTCTTTTCGTTTTTCTTTCCCTGTTAGAAATATGTTTTACATATTTAATGTGTTACTTAATCCGTGAAGAGAGATGTTTTACATACGAATTTATGTTAACATCACACAGTTCACATCTCAAATACTATCGTTAATTGTAATTTCTTTCTCTTTAAAACTATTTATTTAATTCTTTCAATTATGGTTTTGGTATCTTTGACGGTATTTTTTTTAAATCGTAAATTGTCATGTCATCACCACATCCCCGTTATTTTAAGGATTTTAAGACAATATAGTAAATTTATTTATTTTAAAGGAGCACATACCTCAATCTGTTCAGTCTGCAGTTTTGTAACAAATTTTCGAATAAAAATATAATATTTTAAGTATTATAATTTTTGATAAAATTATTAAAATGTTGCGGAGAATTTTAAACTAGTTTTAAATCACATAAAATCAATTTACTTTGATTAGTTAAGCATGTTGTAAAATCCGTTTACAAGAATGTAATTACTATTATCTTGTTCCTCCGATGAGGAAGAGCTATCAAGGAGGAAAGATTAAGTATTTATTTTGATTGCCTCCCCCCAAAAAAGTCAAAATAATACATAAAAATTTGTAAAAGGATTTCAAAGAATCCCTTTAAAGTAATTAATGGTATAATCAATGAAAATAATCGAGAACATTTTATGTTTTTAATTAGTTTAGATGAGAGCTTTCATATATTTTCATTAAAAAAAAAATAAAGGGAGAATTTAAAATGCTCTTGTTTAATTAACCTATATAAAATAAAGCCAGATTTATGAATTGTCGAAGAGAAATTAATGAAANAGTTAATTGCTAATGAAATTCTTAATATTCTTTCATTGAAAATTCACAAACGGCTCTTGGTGTAATGGTTCTCTTCCTGAGCTTCCTCTGCAATAACATTGATTTCAATTTTACATATCGTGAATGTATCATGTACATTAAATCCACCTGAAAATTTGATTTAACATAAATTATATATGAAAAATAAAAAAAAACAAATCACGATCGAATTAAAAAATCTGATCGCATGTTCACTAGATATTTCGTGTTGCATTCTTCCATTGAGGACAATAATTTAATCGATTTTAATAGAAAATTTTTTTTACCATTAATATTAAAATATACCAGAACATGTTATATTTTTACAACATTTGCAACATTTGTAACAAGCATTTTATTGGAAAAATATATTTCTAATATTGGAATAAGATGTGAAGGATCTTTCATTTCTTTTTCTAACATCAAAGGTAAAATAAAAAAAAAATACAAATAACTCTAATCCTTTAGTAAATAGTAAGCTCTTATATGTAAACATTTTATAAACAGAATAATTTTCCAAAAGATTGGATAAAAATTTTTCTTACAATATTTGAATTTTATTATATGGTGCCACAAGAGAGAAACAGAGCGAGAGAGAGAGAGAAAGACTAGAGAGACCATTTAGGTAAAGTTTAAAGTTTAAAGAAAGTTCCTATGTTGGTTTTATTTACAAAATTTTATTCCATAAATAACAAGGTTTTCTGAATTGTAATACGCTAAGTTTTTCTTTCAATTCTAACGGAAACTATCGATTTTATATCCGAGATGATGCTCAAATCTCTTGCTTAAAAACACATTTTTTCCCCCCATTTTTAAAGTAAGTAATTTGTTAATATAATTTTATAAATTTGTTTAAATTTATAAAGAAAACATTATTTAATCATTATAATAAAAATTTATAGTGTGTAAATTATTTAATATTTAGTTTAGGAAAATAGCAAATCTTGCACATCTCTAAATGATGATAATTATTACAATGAAATATCTTAAAAATTAATTTTTTAATCACTGTTGGAAATTATTTAATATTTAAAAAAATATAAAACAATTAAAATAGATAAAAATATTAATAAGTTTTTTAATAATAATTTTT